GAAAGAGTGAGCTGGGCAGCGGGGGGAATGAACTGGAGGAGGTGAGGCCTGAGTTGGCCCAGAAATGGTCAGATCCATCCAGGACTAGGGGTGGGGGCAGGCAGAGGGAGGCAGGGGAGGGCTCAATGCTGCCTCGAGCACCTACTCTTCACAGGGCCTTTGCACAGATGGTCTCTTAATGCTCACGACAATCCACAGCCTCCTCCTCTCCGCTCCTCACCATCATCATCATCGTCATCAGCGCATACATGGCCCCGGGATGGGCCCACCAATAGACCCCACTCCTGTTTGAGCGTGGCCTTGCTCACACCCCCTCTGCCTTTCCTTCCAGTGCCAGCTGCCCAAACTGTATCGTGAGATGGTCTCTGACTCTACTCTTCCAGACTCCAGAAGAAGAGGCCGAGCAGCAGACGGTAAAATGTGGAAAGCACGTAAAAACCACTGTCTGGTGTTATGGACTGAATTGTGTCCCCCAAATCCACATACTGAAGCCCCAACACCTCCGAATGTGACTGTGCTTGGAGATAAGGTGTTTAAACAGGTAACTAAATTAAAATGAGGCTGCTAGGTCGGGGGTCCTAATGCAATAGGGCTGACGTCCTTATAAGAGGAAGAGAAACTGGAGGCACACACACAGAGCAAAGGCCACGTGAGCACACGTGAGACAGCTTTCTGCAAGCCAGGGCGAGAGGCCTCAGGAGAAACCATCCTGCTGGCACCTTGATCTGGAGGCCTTCAGCCTCCAGAACTGGGAGAAATAAATTTCTGTTGTGTAGGCCACGCCATCTGGGGTATTGTGTTATGGCAGCCCGGACAGACTAACACACTTGGGAGGTCCTAGCAGGGCTGAAGGGGCAGCCAATGGGGAGGAGGCAAAGGAGAGCTCCAGTCCCAAGGCATGTCTTCCCTTTAAACGCCAAGGCTCTGCCTGGGGGCTAAACATGACTCCTTCTCTCCCAGCCCCCTCCACCCAATTCCAGAAATTCTGGGCAGGTAGAAGAAAGAGCTGTGAATCAGTCAGATGAGCTAGGTTGGAATCGAGGCCTTGCCCCTAACTCATTCTGCAACGTGGGACAGCCACTTAACCCCATGGCCCCCCCTCCCAGGAACAGAAGAGGGGCCAGCATGTGTACCTCACAGCCTCTGTGGGCATCACAGCCTGCGTGAGCGCCGTGGCAGGGAGCCTCGTGCGGTCACGGGGCGCTCAACAAACACGAGCCCCTTCTACAGCCACGGTTTGCACCTCCCACATCTCTCCATCCCTGAGAGTCACAAGAGCTGGCACATTCATTCTGGGGCAGAACACCAGCCTTCCAGTCCCTCTAAGGGCCAGGCAGCCTAGCGAGACGGGCTTCTTAAAAGGTCTGTTTGGTCAACCCACTTTATGAGTCCATCTTCCAGGTAGACATCGGCATAGAAGGACTGGTCATCGTTGATTATTCGTCCACCCTTGATGAGGAGTCGGTCACTCTGAAAAGCCAAGCAAAGTAGTAAATGTCATTAGAGAAGAGCCAGGAAATGTTTTTTTTCTTTCTAACTTTTAACATAAAACTTTTCAACTCTTTTCTAAAGTAATGGTATTAAAAAGCCCCCTGTGAACCTTCACCCAGAGTCTTTAAACGCTTCACCATCCTCCTTTCACCTCTTTCCCCTCCAAACACTTCGGCTTTGTTTTTGCTGAGATATTATAAAGCAAATCCCAAGTATCATATAATTTCACCTATAAATACTTTAGTACATAATCTCTAACTGTCGAATATAATAAAACTCAATTTAGAGACATTTTAAAAGATAGTGAAGTGACCAAAAAATAAATGCAACTCCCCCAGAAAAACTCCAATCACTGTTCTGACGTTTTTCTCCGATTTCCCTCTATTTTCCATACTTGTGATTCTAGCACCGTAGCCGTTCACTCACCCATGCACCCATTAGATGCCGGCCGATTGCCTCGGCTCCAAGCCCAGGGCCAGGCCCTGATGAGCCAGGGCAGAATGAGCTCTCATGGAGCTGAGGAGGGAGAGACAGAGGTTTAACAAATGCTGGGAGCAGGTGGGGTTCCAAAAGAGAAGGATAGGGTGCCCACCGTGGCCGCAAAGTAAAAGGGCTGCCAGCCTTCGTAAAGGTCAGGTAAGGCAAGCTCAGATCAAGAAAATAATTCTAGATAAGCTGGACCAAACGAAGGGTGGGGCAGAAGGCCAGTATGGCGAGTGCTGAGTGTCTGGGCAGAGAAGTGGTGTGCCAGGTCCTAGAGGCAGCAGGGGATGTAGCAAATTCTAGGAGCTAAAAAGAAAACACGATTGTGTCCTTTTTCTGCATTTTACCACAACCATAATTTTTAAGTGGCTACAAAATATTCCATTTTATGGATGCACAATAGATTGTTAATTTCCCCCATTGTTCTTTTTAATGTTTCACAATGATAAATATTGCTATAATGAACATCTTTATGCACAAAGCTTTTCCTGAATTTGTACTATTTGTTAGGCTAAATTCTCAGAAATGTTAACAACTGAGTCAAACAGTATGAACCTTGCTTTCAGCCCTTGATAAATATGACCAGGTTGCTTTCCAAAAGTACCTCCCCAATTTGCCATCCCGAGACCACCAAAACATCCTTGGTTATCATTCATATTTGTTAATTTGCATTTCTTGGAGGCTGAGAATTTTTTTTGCCACGTGCGTATTTGCTATTTGTATTATCTCCTAGCTGGAGATGGGGTGATGGATAAAACACAGCTTCTGCCCTTAAGCCCCACCCTTTGGGCAGGAAGACAGACAGGAAACAGACAGCAACGATTCAGGGTAAACACCTCAGAAGGAGTGTTGCGTGGGTTCCCCTGGAGGCAGAGCCTGAGACAAGGATTTAGAGGTAAGCAGTGATTCTGGGAGGTGATTCCACGAAGGGGAGTTAGGGAGGCAGGCACTGATCTGGCTAACACTGTGAGCAACTGGGGCTTGATCCCGCCGGGACACTCTTAGGAACCCTCTATCACAGAATGTGCCTCAGATCCGTGCCAGTGGTCCCACAGCATTGACCACGAGAGGAAGGCAGAGGATGCTGCGCAAGCCTGGAAAAGAAGGGTTTCACCCAAACTCAGGAATCAGGCAAGGCTTGCTGAGCAGACACAGAGCACGCAGCCTGCTGCTCAGAACCCTCCAGTGGGTTCTTGTCGCAGTGTATTTTCCCCAGAGTGAAAGCCAAGTCAGCGAGACCCTATTTAATCTGGAATCCTACTATGTAGGTAAAATTCACTCTCTCATTTGCTTCAGGTCTCTGCTCAGTGTCACTTACCTGACAGCCCTCCCCTTGGCTGCCCTGTTTGGAACACCTTACACAGCTGCCCTGCCTGCAGACCCCTCACCTCTTACCCACTTTAAGTTTACACAGTACTTAATATAGTATATCTGACATAGTCTCTATTTACATGTTTGTTTAAAAATGTGACTTGTCCCACCAACATCAGAGCTGTGGTGTGTTACCCCACTGCCTGTGTCAGGCACAACTCACAGGGGACCAATCATAGACACGTTGCTGTGGATGGACGGTACCACCTAGAGTTGTCCCTGCAGTTTCTTAAGAGACTTAGCTCCATGGGGGCAGAGATTTCATCTATTTTCTTCATTGCTGCATCTCTGATACTTTGGACACAGCCTGGCAGGATGGATGGATGGATGGATGGATGGATGGATGGATGCCTGAACTGATTCTTGAAGGATGAATGGGTGAAGATGGAGAGAAAAGGCATCACAGCCGTAAGACAAAAAACTATGAGCCACGAGCCAAGGAAGAGAAGTATGTCCCGTTCTCGAGGAGAGGGGTCCCTGGAGGAAGGGGCTTCAAGCTCAGTCACTCCCAGGGCCAACAACCTCCCTCTTAGCCATAAGACAGAAGCCAGGACCTAGGGAAAG